AAGAAAAAAAAAAAAAAAGGGTTGAATTCCTTTTCTTCTTCCTAGCTTAAATTCCACAAAGACCCACATTCATTTTCCCATCTGGTAAGTAGGGAAAACAACCATGTTTACATTGTAGGACCTTAAGAAGCAGTAAAGTCATAGTGTACTTGAGTGGCCTGTCCTGGCTGTTGTTCCTATGGCACCCACGCTGAGGGGAGTAGCACCCTTCCTGGCTCTTACCCCAGGCCTGGTGTGGGCTGCAGGGTATGGCCCAGTGTCAGCTGACGTCTCTCCTGGCTCTCTCTGCTGGGGTGGATTTCATTGTTTTTCCTTGGCCAGCTTCTTTTCTCTGTGTTGTCTTGTTCCCCACTCTTCTCAGGCATTCTACCGCCTCCTTTGTGTTTCTGCTGTTTTTCACACTTTCTGTCTTAGGATTAAAATCTATTCTTTTTTATCTTACTTCTCTTTTTTGCTGGGTCACACAGAGGCAGTTTCCACTCCACTACCTTATTCAGCCCCTTGAAAGAAATAATGTCTGTGAGTTTGACTGTTGAAAAATATTTCAAACCATTAGTTTACTTGGCTTTTCCTACTTTAATTAAGTAGTTTAAAAATTAAATTTAGACTGGGCCTGATTGTGCACATCCCTAATCCCAGCACTGAGTAGGCAGAAGCAGGCAGATCTCTGTGAGATGGAGGCCAGCCTGGTCTACACAGTGAGTTCCAGACCAGCTGTGGCTTCACTGAGACCGAAAACACCCCTGCCCCCCAAATTAAAAATAACTTTGTTTTGGATCCGTTTATATAGGGAATATAATTTTCTAGTTTTATTTTCTTCCTTGCCGTTAATGTCGAATGTCTGTTGAATGAAATATACGCTAACATGTTAGTCCTTTAGATGGTTCAAGAATAAAGGCAGCAGTTAGCTCTGTGGTATAGGGTCTTGTCATCAGTGCTGCCTGGCAGCGATCAGGTAGGGCGGCTCTTCTTATTTTATAGCAAAGTCGTCGAGACCAAAGTGCTGAAAACTGATGTGACTCAACATAGGTTGTAGGAAAATGTCGTCGTAAAAAAAAAAAGTATTAGCTAAAGCAAGATCTTTGAAAAACAACATTAAAATGTTATAACCAACTTGCAGGGACCTAGGGACAGAAATGTACTGCTTTTATTTATTCTAGTTTTTCATAGTAGAATGACTTGAGAACTCAATCCCCTGTTGGTTAAAAAACAAGTCCAATTCTATCCAAAGGAATACTGACAATGGATTGCCGTTGATGAGGAACAGCTGATCCTCCTGGAACAGGGACCTCTGGCTGACTAGATTTACCAGAAGGGCAGATAGGGGGGAATGGGTGGGGGTGCTGACAGCACAGTGGCAGGGATAGCAGAGTATGGAGGCTCTAGTGGGAGAGGAAGCCTGTCTACCTGACGAGTTTGTATTCACGCTCAGATGCCGAGGAGCTCAGAAGGTGGGTGACTGTGACCAGTGATAGTCATGTATATAGAGATTAGAAATGCATGTGAAAACGTCTCAATGTCAAGAGCCCTGGAATGAATTTTTCTGTATGAAACTGTGCATTTTGACAACGCAGTGGAGATCTTTTTTAAACGTTGGAACCTCATTTAATTTTATGTCTTATAGAGTTTATAATGAGTAAAAGATTATATAAGCGTAATAATTCATCTGTAAACCTAGAAATGTACAGCCAATTTTGAAAGAGATGTACCCTAGCTCAGAAAAATGTTATTGAATAGGTTAATGCTGTTGTAATGAAATGCTTCTTTTAATTAAAAAAAAAAACTTAAATGCAAAAAAAAATACAACTGGACATCTGTAGGAAAGTGATTAATACATTTATGATTCTTTTGGCTCAGAAAAAAAAAAAAAAACAAGTCCACATAGGCTTGAGCTGAGAATCTCCGCTCCTGTTTTCTCAGCCTCTGCTGGGACCTCTGCTTCTGTCTCCTCAGCTGCTCTGAGCCCCAGCGACAGCAGTCCCGGGCTCTCAGCAGGTAAACTAAGTGCTGAGCAAAGTCCCTGCCCGGTGGAGCTACTGGCTTCAGCAGTGCTGTGCAGATGTCCTTTTCAGAAAGGTGATGCTTCCACACACCGTTAAAATGTAGTATCTCAGCCTTTCAACAGTTTATTTTGTATTCAATATGTTCGAGCGTTTTGCTTGCCCAGGAGGCCAGAAGAGGGTGTGGATCCCCTGGAACTGGAGTCACAGGTGGTTGTTAGTTGTCCTGTGGATGCTGGGAACTGACCGCAGGTCCTCTGCCAGAGCTCTGACCCACTGAGCCATCTCTCCAGCCTCATGTGGTGTGTTCTTACTGTGTGTCATATTCCGGTTAGGAACCTCTGCTACCTGACAGGTGGCAGCACAAAGCACATTTTTATCCTGGATTATCAGTTCATTAATGAATTTATTTATTTAAGCTTTGTCTGGGTCAACCAGAAGCTCTACAGTTGTGAGCACAGAGCTGGGAGCCCAAGGGCTGTGGTCACAGCATTCACAACAGGTAAGGAAGACGGTCCTAGTCCGGAATCTCTGGCCAGCAACTTTCCTCTGTGAACTGAATCATGTAATGAGTGCTTAGGCCATGTGATGTCATCTGAAAGACAGGAAAAAGTTGTTGTTCCCATGTTACTACATATTACATACTCCCATATTACCCCTACAGGGTCGGTTGTGGACCCTGTTAGTTAGATTTAGTTCACAGCTTCGGGTTGGAGGGAGTGGCATCTGGTGGACCATTTTGGAGGGAGCCTGCTCATTTGGGATGCATCCTGGTAGATGGCAAATATGCGACATCTGTGGATGCATATTATGGCATCTGTGAGCCACAGCGGAGCTCTGGGTGTCTGACTGAGGCGCTCAGAGTCTCATTAGAACTCCCCTCCAAGGGCATCACCCTCTTCAGACCTAGGGACCTCCCGGCCGGTCATAAAGGGATCCGTATCATCCAATATTGCCACCCTGGGGGACCAGTTTCCAAACACACACCACCAGGAGCAAGTCACTTTCAAACCATATACATGGAAATTTCTACTGCACTGTAGTTTCTGATATGCGCAACCATGTAGTCGTTGTTTCCGTGGTCTTGGTGAAAGATCTCACATCCAGTAACAGCCAAGGAGAATGTGCTCAGATGTGTCTGTTCCCTTGCATCCTATTGGCCCGACCTCTCGTTCAGGGTTAACCTCTGTCCACCCAGTATCCACAGGCCTCTCTGCCTAGCTCACTTTCCAATGACAGGAGGGTGCTTAAAGGGTGGTTATTAGACCACCAACCACAGTGGTGATATCATCTGGAAGTCTGTGAGAAATCGAGTGGGCTCATCTGACTAGTCAGGAGCTTGGAGTGACCCAGAAGAGAGTGTTACCAAGCGCTGCAAGCAGTTGATGCTTGTCAAGTAGAAAGCCAACTGCTGTGCCATTTCCTCACTTCCTGAATTCACTCCCAGGTCACACAACTGTAAAACCAACCCAAAATGTCAACTGTCCTCATGCTGTTATGCCACTTAAAATTCTTTCACTCTTAGGATAGCTTTTAAGGTCAACAGGAACTCTTATATGTCCTTAAAGGCCTTTCCTTAGTGTACACGAGACTTCTTTTAATGAGTTAATCAAGCAATCCATGGATTGATTCTATTTATTTTCTATATATTTTCCATTAGGACTTTTCTGGATTTAAGCTTATGGCAAATGATCTTGAAATAAGCATAAATCATTAAAAATAACCGGAATAGCAGAGAATATGAAACTGATTGATTCTAATTAGGTTATTGAACGGATTGACGTTTTGACGCAGTGGCCGTTAGTTCCTGTTGCCTCAGATCCAAATCAGAAATACTTGGGCAGTGATGGCAAGGCAGCCACACAGTTTGGTAATGAGGGAGCACATGGAGGACTACACAGGGATTTACGCCTTGGGGGTGCCAGGCAGCTTTCTGAAATGTTTGTTGCAGACCCAAGATGTGATGAGCAACACAGAGCACACATTTAGATACAAAGACATTTGACCCAGTCATCATATTTCTGTGGAATAAAGGCTTATGTTTTGTATGATTTTAGTTTTCCAAATTTCAGTTCTCTATTCCAGTGGCTTTTAAAATTAGCAATGTAGGAAATTAGACTGGAATTGTTTTCCTATTTGTCTTTGAGCACAGACTATTTGAGAATCAAAAGGTCCAATAGAAAATCCGAGTCTGGGTACAGTTTCCTGGCTTCTTGATCTGTTCTCAACCAACTGGGTGATCTGGATTGAGTCACATAAACTCATCTGATAATTGAGAAGAAAATAATAACTATACTAGTGGATTTTTAGAAGTCAAACTGAGTTGAACTGACTGATATCTAGAACATTGCTAAATGGTATTTTCATCAGGAGGAGCATCAAATCCTGCTGAACCCACATCTAGTGAGGAAGAAGGCACCACATCCAGGGAGCTGAGCCCTGGAGCCACAAGCCAAGGAAACACAGGTAAGTCAGAACATGCCCCTCATTAGTGACTATCAAATGAGAAAAAAAAAATCATAAGAGGCAGGCTGTTGAATACATGATGAAAACATATAAAGACTTTAAAATTTTGAGTCTTCCATCTCACACTTGGGAAGAACTAGCTTGTTAAACCACTGCTACTGTGTTTGTCTAGCACAAGGAAGAGTCTATGAGGCTAGCCTCGGGATTAGGCAGGGGTGGCATACCTGCAGCATCCAGCATTGGGGCCACAGGTACCACAAACTCAATGGGTAAGACAAGACCTCCTTGGGAGACTGGTAAGGTCAGCACATGCTTTCCCAAGACCTCAGATTGTCATAATGAGATTTAGAACATCTGATCCTGGACAATGTTGCAGGAAATGGTAACCAGAGTAAAGGGGGGAACTGTCCCGAAAAGAGTGCTTTCTTTAAGCTAGCCGAGTGCTTGAAGCACTGTCCCTCTTCCCACAGGAACACGTGGAGGAGCAGACGCAGCCACCACTGGCCCTCGAGAAAGCACATTTGAAAGAAAAGTTATTGAGGTCACACAGAAGTTAGATAAACAAGCTTAGTGCTCGAGAGTTAGCCGTAGACAAGGTTTCCTGGGGGATCTTGACAGATGTGATTTTAGAAATGACAAGTTCCGAGAAGATCTGATAAGAACCAGCAAGTATTTATTGTGTACTGAATATTGTGTTACAAGTTTTAAGGTCCACAATAACTTTCTCACACAAGTTCACTCTAGAAAGTGAGAAGCTAATATTTGTGCATATTTTATTAGTAAAGTTTATTGCCATAGTTTATTAGTGAAGAATACCTTAATGGAATGAACATATGACCACTATTACAGGAATCACCTGATTTATCTGGTGCAAGAACTTAAGAAACAAGTAATGTTTGCAAGGTTGATTCATCTACTTTCTTGAAAGAAAAAAAAGGGCATATTTCTGATCCTATGGCTGAGCAGGCAGTGCACACAGTAGCTATTCAAGGGGCTGCTTAGGATTGTTCATAGCTAAGTGTCAAGATGCCTGCTTATAGCTTCTTCCTGGAGTGATAAAACAGGTATTTAGAAGTAACAATTTGACACACACATCTAATGTTTGCTAAATAAACATTGCATTTCATAAGATTTTGCATTTCAAAACTATAGTTTTAGATATACTCTGATGGGATTTTGTTAAAGCATCTATTCGGAATACTTTTGAAAAATTTAAAAACTGGCCTTATCAACACATCACTGAGAAACACAGGAATAGTTTAAATTGGGGGGCTGGAGGGCTTGCGATTGATTCCTGGTGACCAACAGGGCCTAGAGTAAGTCATGCAGCCCTGTCTAGTAGATGGGAAGAATGTTACCTTTACCCTAGGATTTCGTGAGGATACCTCTATTGATTGTGCTTGGGGCATTTTTAGATGTCACTGCTTCCTCGGAAGGTACAGAAGGTCTTTCTGCACACACGTCTTCTGGTGAAGGAGGCAGCACACCCAGGGCACCCAGCACTGCAGCTACAAGCCCAGGAGCCTGGGGTAAGTCATGCACCTAATGCCTGTTAAATGGGTACAAATATGAAAAAAATGGGCAGACTATTGGAAAAAGTGGTGGAAAATTCAAGAGGATTGAAATTTCATCTTGAATCATGCATTCATGCACTATAAGTGAGGCTGGTAGTGTTCCAAGAGGTTCTGTAAGAACGGTTTGGGAGCAAGCACGCCTAAGGCATCAGGCAGCCCATGCTCATCACCTCATATTCATAAGATCTTCCTTTAAAACTCCTGCCATCTTCCTTTTTTACCGTGATTGATCTTAGTGACAACCCCCCGGACGTCATCTGGGGCAACCTCTGTAGTAGCACTGGGCAGTACCACATACACACCTGGTGTTGAAGGCAGCATGCCCAGGGGAAACAACATTGAAGCTACAAGCTCTGGAAGTCCAGGTAAGTCAGGAGATGTACCTCACCCCTATATCAGATGGGTAACAGTACCACAAAGAGGAAGGGATAAAACATAGGAGAAAATTGTAATTTTTCCTGGACTTCCAAGTGCTTTCCCCCAGGAATTATAGTCTATGTTACAATCACTGATATTGTGTTTATCAGTCTCAACTGGAGAATCTGATGGGCTTACTTCAGGAGTGGGCAGAGGAAGCACACCAGGAGCATCTGGCACTGGGGACACCAGCAGTGGAAACTCACCAGGTAAGAAAGAACCACTCCAGAGGATCATGGTGGGAGCTAGAACAGGTTTACTAAGACCCCTGAACATGACAATCAGATCAAGGAAAGCAGACTAAGGACAGCAGAATAGGACTCAATGACACGAGTGACATTACAGAATGCTCTAGAAGATGGTCTTTTTCATATTAATTTTATTGTTGTTGGAAGAAAAGTCCTGAGAAAAGCCACTTGAGGACAGCCGGGCAGAGGGTGCGTCACGTCTGAGGGTATAGATGATGAAATGCACAGCTGGCCAGCAGATGTCTGATGCGCCCGGCAGTTACTACGTAGAGAGATGAGCATTGACGCTCGGCTCCCTTTCTCCTTTTACTGAGTCTAGGAACTCAGTCGATGTAATGGTGACATGAACAGTTTGCATCTCCCCTCCTATACTAGCCCAGTCTGAAAAATCTCTCAAAGACCTGCCCAGAGGTTTGCTTTCATGGTGTTTGTAAATGAAGTGGACAAATTAACCATCACACTGTTCGGCGCATTCTTCTTCCCGCAGGAACAAGTGTAAGAGCCAGTGCCGTCACCAGGGGAGCTGCAGATGGAAACTCATCTGGGAGAACAGGTATGTGTGATCAGAGCAGGGGCATGGCCAGCGGTGGACCTGTGAGCTTGCTGCTCAACCTCTAGTCAGAGTCAGGATTTCATGAAGAATCTGACAGCTGTCATTTCTGTGATGCTATGTGTCTACATGATTTTAAAAAAATCTGTTCTTTACCTAGTATTGTGTTTCCTCCTTTGTGGAATATAGAAAAAGAGGAGTTCCCCTCCCTCTGGGAGACCCGCCCTCACTCTGGGTCTCTGGATCCTGACGGGGATTGACAAAGCGACATAAGTCATTCCATTTGGGTTTTGCATAATTTATATGACGTCCAGATAAGGGGATGACTTACAAAGACACGGATTCTCATAGGCTTTTCTTTTCCATGTTTGAGGCATGTGCCATCCCACCCAAGGTCTCCGTGCTCTGTTCCAAAAATGGCACCCACTCCATTCACAGCTCTGCTCCAAAGTCCACACCCAAACAAATCCTGTGGCTTCCCAGCAGCCACACAAAATGGCAAGAGCTTATATATCCATAGCCCCTCCCCTTCATGTAGCTAAGGTCAACTGATTGGGTGGGAGAGGTAATGGGCTTGACTCCTTCCACAGAGCGTGGGAAGGAGGTGGGACTACGGCTTGTTGTCATAGGGTTGGAGGGACTTCTGGGTCACAAGTGGAATACTCAAATTCAATATGGACAGCCCCAAACTGATGTTTATACAAGTGTAGATGCCAAAGAGTAAGCAAGGCAGAGACACAGCGGAGCCCAGATCGTCCCGTGATGGATGCTGGGTGTTGTTGACCACTGCACTGTATTGAGAAAGAGTTCCTCAGTGGAATCGGTATAAAAGTATATCATTTATAAGATTTCCTTTGAAAAGAAACAAAGACAGCAACAAGTTTTATGGGGTAGATGTGGCTATTGTTCTTATAGGAAATCAATACTGTTTGCTTTCATACAGTTGAGTATTGACTTTGTTTAAGATAACATTTCTATCTTTGATAAAATCAGAAACACCTGTGGCATCATCAGGCGCAACCCCCGGAGAAAGCGTCATTGGAGGCACCACTTCTGGTAAGATCCAACGTGCGGGAGGTGATGCCCCAGGATCTGCACCCAGGCCCTTTCCTTCCCATGTGCCCTGACCCAGGTTCAGGTATTAAGCACTCTACACTTGGTCTCTGCAGTCCCACGCTGGTATACCATCCTCTGTCAGTCTCCAGTTCAAAGTGGGGTTAGGGACCAGCTCCATCAGCTTCTCCTTAGAAGGATTGCTTCTTCCATGGACCCGTGTGAGCAGGAGCTGCTGAACTAGAACCCAAAAGACACAGCGTAAACAAGGTCTCCCGGAGATTTGTGTAGAACAGAATAGTGGACTGGAATTTCTCACATTGCCCAATTCTCCCTCCAGACAGTTTATACCTTATCCAATACCTTTCTAGAATGAACTTCCCAAATCTCAGTTCCCATCTGTCATTCCATATAGAAAATACAATTGACCTGATTGTTTTAACGCAATATAAACTACACCACAAAAACATAAATCTCATTGACCCCAATTTCATTAGTGAGCATGTAAGACTTCCTCATATGCATATATTTTAATATTTCATTTATTATTTTTATTTTATGTGTATGAATATATTGCCTATATGCATGTAAGTGCACCCATGTCATGCAGTACCCTAGGAGGTCAGAAGAAGGTGTTGGATCCCCTGGAAATGGAGTGACAGAAGGTTGTTAGCTGCCACATGGGTGTTGGAAATCGAACCTGGGTCCTTTGTAAGAGCAGCCAGTGGTGTTAAGGGCTGAGGCGTCACTCCATCCCTCTCATATAGTTTTCATCTAAACCAGGGAACAATATTATTTTCACATATTTTTATTCCATTAGCAAATTTCTTCATTTCAAATAATGACTTAAATTCTTTTAAAAGAAATGAACTTTGGCAGATGAAATAATTGAATAAAAGACATAATCCAAACTCCACAAATTGGGAAACCTTCTAATCTTAGCTCTCATTGATTACGTTTTAGTGTGATGGCCATTGTGCTGACTTTCTGAGTTGGAGTTACTTGGGAATGAGAAAACTTAGTGAGCTCTGTGATGTGTTAAAATGAGTACACAGTGGTTATGAGTCTTGTTTTTCCAGATCTGTCCTACTGACTTCCATCCAGAATGGATTTAATTTTTTTGTTGTTTTGTTTGGGCTTTTTTTTTTTTTTTTGAGACAGAGTCTCTCTGTAGCTACAGTTGACCTGAAACTTGCTATGTAGACTAAGCTGGCCTCAGTATCACAGAGATCTGCCTGCCTCTGCTTCCTGAAAGCAGGGACTAAAAGAGAATACCATTGTTTTCAATTTTTTTTACTCCTTGTTGTGATGTAATGAAAACAACAGAGAGAAGTATTAAAAATAAGCTTCACACAGAGCTGTTAAATCTGCTGAGGAAACAGAATCTAACCACTGTTTTATAGGATTTCCATTTTAAGGTAGTATTTCAGGATATAGCTTGGTAATGCTGAATTCACTTTTCTAACATGCTTTAGGAATCATAAGAACTGCTGTTTTGCTAGAGATCACTGAGAAGCAAGGTTACAGTTTAGATTCTAGGGTTAGTCTTGAGATTGGACCCTGGATCTGCTCTAAGCCAATAGGGTGACTTGAGCAAGCTCTGCAGCCATAGCTAATAACTGGAAAAAAAATGTTTTCTGGGCCAGAGTTTCTTCTAACATGTTGAGTATTTTTAAGAAAAAATAAAAATGGTGCTTTTGTTCTAGGAACTTTAGAGTCTTCTGCGTCCACATCTCTTGACAAGCAAGGCAGCACACCAAGAGAAACCAGTAGCGGGGCCACAAGCCAAGGTCACTCAGGTAATCAGGACAAATAATTTATTTGTGCCAATGGAATGGGCATAATTAAGCCAGGTGAGCTGCTGGAAGGGTGGAAATTTTCAAAGACTGAAGTTGTTCTGACCCTCCCCTGTCTCCCTTCTGAAGGGCTAGCACATGGCTCATGCAGGGTCCTTTGTTTATCAGGTACAAGTGCAGAGTCTGTGCAAGTTACCTCAGGAGCAGACAGGGAGGCCACACAAGGAGCCCCAGGCACTGGATCCACCAGCACTGGAAATCCAGCAGGTGAGATGGGGGTCCTTAGCTGGCTGTGGTGGGTCTCACAGAGCTTCAACCAGAGCTGTCATAATGAAGTCAAGACCCAGGTGGCCAAGGACCAAACGCACAGCTTAGGACAGAAGTGTTACTGTGAAATGCATTGGAAGCTGCTGTCCCCTCACTGTCTATTACATTAAACATTGGTTTTCTTCTCACAGGAGCAAGTGGAGCGACAGGTGCAGCCACCAAGGGACCTGCTGGGGGACGCACATCTGGAGGAGCAGGTACTGAGGGAGCAGAGCAGGGGGCAGCAAGGCAGGGGACAGTGAGCATGTCATTAAATGAGGTGAGGTTTGTGGGGACTCTGACCACTGTGACTTCTGTCATGTAATATTGGGTAGTTCTCTGTTGTGAGAATTATCAGACAAATCAGGATTAGAACAAAAAGGTTATTTTGTTCAAGTTTCAGGATTAGAACGAAAGGGTTACTTTGTTCAAGTTTGATGATAAAGTCCACTATAATAGGAAAGTTTCATGAAAAATTAACAATGATGGACATGGAGGAGCTAAAAAATCAGGATGAAAACATCCAGGAAGAGAAAATGTTCACATGGGCTAAAACAGTCCTATAATCACCAACTTCGCTACATGAAGAGTTTCACTTACTTAACACTATTAATATGCTTCGTAATTAATGGATGCTATTTTAATGTAATGAATGTATTATCAGAATAACTTATCACTGGAATGTTTGAGTACATGCATTCATTTTATTAAGGGAGCAATGTGAACTTCATTTCGTACTCATGAGAAGCACTTTTCTTGTTTTCCATCTCTTGTTTCCTCTTAACCGTGATAAACACCAGTCACCCCTGGGGCCTCATCTGGAGCAGCCTCTGGAGCCACAGGTGTCAGCGGCCCTGAACCTGCCAGCAGTGGAGCCCCAGGTACTGACAAGTTCCAGGAGGCAGGTGATGCCCCGGCAGCAGGCCCGAGTCCCTACTGCAACTGCCAACGACCCACAAACCAGCCTCTAAGTAGGAGTAGAATAGGGATTCAAGAAGGGTTCCGAGAAATGTCTTTACATTTTCTTTTTAAAGATTCATGTACTTGTGCATTTTAATTTTAGGTGCATGGTGTTTTTCCTGCATGCATGTTAAGCGCACCTATGTGATACAATTCCTTTAGAGGCCATCAGAGGGTACAAGATCCCCTGGAACTAGAATTACAGACAGTTCTGAGCTGCCTGTGGCTGCTGTGAACCAAACCTGGGTCCTGTCCAAGAGCTGACAATGTTCCTTACCATGGAGCCTTCTCTCCAAGCCTCTCTTCCAATCTTCTTGTTCTGAAAATCCATTAATACACCTAAGATGGCTGAGAATAACTAGAGCCTCCGCACATGCGTTTTCCTTGTCCTAGGGAGCAGAATGATGTCAAGATTTCATTAGTGATAAGATTTCCTGGAGAACTGTGACACTGTTTTTGTTTGATGCCAGATGCCTGAAATATAAAAACAGAACAAAGTCAATTGTCATATAGTTAATATTGTGAATGATGATTCGTAGAAAATAGGTAAAAATCCATAGAGTATTTCCTCAATCTCCATTGGTTTTGATGGGTCAGAAATTGTATTAGCATAGGACACAAAGGAAAAATAACCAGCAAATAGGAGAATTTGGGGTAACTTTGTGAGTTGTTAATGGCATAGTAGACAAGGAAGAGACAAGGTCTTTCAATGTTGAATGTGGTATACTTTATTGCATTGCTCTTTTATAAAAGAGGAATATAATATAATTAGTCTTCTACGACTTTCTGAGATCCAGAGTAATTCCTGGCGAAGTTTGTGGGTGATGTATCCATTTTTAAAGAAAAAGCAAGCATATTTAGCACCCTGTTCAAAAAGTTCCTAACATCATATTCCCTTACGCTGACATATGTCTCTTGCTCTGTGTCAGGCTCACCTGGGACATCTTCTGGAGCAACCTCTGGGGTGGCAGGCACAGCAGCGACAGGTCGTGGTAAGATCCAGGGGCTGGGTGATGCCAGAGCAGCTCCCCTCCATGCCCTGCTGTTCACTGTGTTCCTGGGTACAGCCAGCATCTGACTGGATTGGATGTAGGCTGAGGAGAGTTGGAGGGAGAGGGGCTTACACTCTCCTTTCCTGAATTTCCAAGGTATTCACAGTCAAGGCAGAAAGAATATGCAGATCCCCAACTCATAACCTCTTCTGATTCTAGGAAACATTAGAGTGTCTGTGGGGTCGACCACTGCCAACCCAGGAGCATCAGCCAGGCCAGCCACAGCCACTGCTAGTGGCAGACCAGGTAAGTTAAATAGAAGAGTCCAACGGGAGTCTCTGCTTGTGCCCTGTGTCTGTATCCAGACATTCTTTGGAATGCACAGCCATCGTAAACGATCGGCCCTGTGAAGGCCCTTGCACTGACAGGCAGTGATGAAGGTCTCCCTAGGGCGTTTGTGTGATCGTGTCCTAAGTGAACTTGGGACTGAAGTAGTTGGAGGAATCAGTGACATGTTCACTGTGGATGTCGGGAAGAAAAGGAAGCTTGCCATCTTCCTAGGTAGTAGAGATATAGCTGCAATATGACGGGGGTGCCATTTACAGAGTCATTGAACTTGTACCTCAGTCGAAATTGTTTTAAAGGGTCTCTTGATTCCAGTGTGCAGCCTGGTTGTGAAATACACTTAAATTTTGAAATATTAGAAAAAAAACATGCCAGGCAGCTAATTTGCATTCAGTATGTAAACGAGCACACACGTGTTTTCTAAGACGTGGCTCACAGTTTATGATCAGTGGTTGGAAAGTCAGATTCGGAAATGCAGACGTGTCTATAACTAGATGAAAGGTTTGAGCCGAGAGCAGCTGACCTGACGGCCTGTCAGAGTCCCGACGTTCCCCTGCTGTTCTCCCCAACAGGCAGCAGTGCCCTGAGCCTTGGCCAAACAACGGGAGCCTCAAGCAGCGACCTGACCCCGGCCGAAGACAAGTCGGGTAAGCAGCTGATGCGCAGAGTCGGGAATCATTTACCCCTGTCTCTTATTTCACCCAGGGTAGCTCGTCCAATGCATGACCATCTAGCTGACATACATCCAGCGTCTATCTATGTGTATGTCAAAGCAGTGCCTAATAGTAGAAAGAAAATATTTGAGAATATCATATCAAGCAAAAGTTTAGGGAAGTTTACGCAGAACTTCCTGCTTTCGTTTGGTCTGTTTTCCCTAGCAGAACAGTTTAAGAAGTTGTACCTCTCAGTGGTAACAAAAATCATGCAAACTTTGAGCGTCCCTTTGATGTTTTCTCAGGCTCTGCAGAAACATCAGCTCCTGTCACCTCTGTCTCTGGAAGTGCGGGGACCACAGAAATCTTACCACTCCTGGGCTCACAGAAGGTAAACTCAGCTCAGAAGAAACTGTCTGTTGTCTGCTTGTTTTAGGGACTGCTGAACAGACTTTTCACCCTGATATAATGTGAAACTTAGATGATTATTCTTTTCATAAAATTTCAGTAGAGTATCTTTAATCTATTCACAAATTGCTTCAAAGTATGCCACATTGCAATTATTCGCTCCTACTTTTCTGAGAGTTGGAAGTGCTTATCCAGGTATTGGCAGTGGTGCATTTTTTTCTGTCCCTTGTTAGAAAAAGCCCTAGAGTCCATAGTCAAAACAACAGTAGCAATGACAGGAAACAAAAACATAAATGATACAGAATTCATAGAAGGTAAGAGTAAGATATAGGTCAGTTCAAAACGAAATGATGTTTTAGTAAATGATATCGTTATTAAACACCTGCACATTGTCCTACAACCTCCCTGTGTGTTCGTTAAGTTAGTGGACATGTATCTGTGGCAGTAAACTCCCTCTGAGTTGAGACTTTGTTGAGTTGTCCAAGTTGCAGTGTCATCGTAGGAAATCACATTCTTAAATTTCATGGACAACCGCTGGCCACCCTTTGGGTTCTAAGATATGTGGGAATGGGTCATATTGCACAAACGTCAAAAGCTGTGCTTGTCCTTGTGTCCTCCACCATTGAAACGCATCAGTGTCAAACACCCAACTAACTTCCGCTTCTGTGACACTTAATATTCAGATGACCACCAAATAAAACTGCACTTTGCATACCGGCACAACAATTTCTTCAATGTTTATATGGGACTTCAACTACTTTAAGAAAATATTTTACTTATTATTTCTATTTTTTGTATTGAGTGTATTGCCTGTATGTGTATAAATGTATCCGTACATTGTAATGCCAGTGGAGGCCAGAAAAGGGTTTTGGAGTCCCCTGAAATGGACATGCCGATGTTTGCCAGCCATCACGTGTGTGCTGGAATCAATCGCAGGTCCTTGCAAGAGCAGTCAGTGCTCTTAACCAGTGAGCCTTCCCTCCAGCACCCTCAGATATCTTGCTTTGAGCTATTCTCAGGCCTGATACTATGCTAAACCTTTCTCAGAAATTTGTTTGACTTAAAATATATGATTGAAGTCGGAATCTACAGTGTGATGTTATCCTAAACTTCTCCCATCAATTCAATTCACTTAAAATATATGACTTAGGTATGTTTCAGGATAATATATACTGAGAAAATAGTTGTTGAAAAAGGAATCTAGACACAAGACATACAATAAGTAATTGTAATCATCTTAAACATATTGTACCTTTACCGTGATGTCCATTGAACCCATATTTTCAAACTTCTGAAGCAGGGTGCCTGTGGTAGCAGTAAGCTCTCTGTGAATTATGCCCTTTTTTATCGGGCCCTTTGAGCGCCCGTGAGAGGGGCCACTTGAAGTTGGTTCCCCAGGTGAGGAGCGTCCACCAGTGTCTGTTGAGGCTCTCGATGCATTAACTTGAAACAGGGATCCTGCCCTTAAAAAGAAAGTAACTTGACACAATGGGATCGTTTTTCTATCTAGAGGACAAAAGTTTGTGCTTCATAGCATTTTAATAAAAATTTTCATTTCTCTATCTACGTCTATGGCGTGTTCAAACCATAAAGCACAACACTTTGGGAATTAATCTTTGACAAGTGTTGGAGGAGCCCGAATGGCGCTAGATGCTTATGTCTGAGTGGTGGATGTGCTGTTTACTTCTGAAATGAGGGGGCGGGGGTCACTTAATCACATTGAATCAATGAGGCATGTTACCCGATACAGAGACTTTTCACAACATGAATTAATTTTCTGTCTTGGACATGTTTTGACTGATATTTTCATCCGCAGCACTAGGCGGCTCCACTGCACCAATACGCGCTGGTGAGGAGCATAGCACGGCCAGAGAAAACAGTCCTGGAAGTCCACGTCAAGGAGACTCAGGTAAGTCAAAGCACGCACCTTAGTACGTTCAACATGTCCAGCCTGGACAACAGGTGTGCCATCTGGATCATGATGGGAAAGGAGCAGATGATGAAAATTTGGCTCGAACTGGCCACTGTCCCTTCAGAGGAATCAGCAAATTTGAATCCACTGCTCCTGTTTGTCAGGTTCGGATGAAAAGTCTCTGGAAACAACGTCGGGAGCAGGCGGGAGAAGCACGCCTGGAAGATCTGGAGCCTCGAACGGTGTGTCAGCGTCAGGTAAGTCAAGGCCTCTCTCTCTAGGGGCTGCGGGGTGGGGTCGGCACCAACCTTGGCAGAGAGGATCAGAGAGGAGGAGAACCACATTGTGGACACTAATAATGTGAATACAGCTATCGGTGCCCTGGGAGGTTTTCATAGCTGCAGTGAACCCCCTTGTTTCTTCCCAAGGAACAAGTGGAGCGACAGCTGCAGCCAACACGGGAGTGGCTGGGGGACGCACATCTGGAGGAGCAGGTACTGAGGGAGCAGAGCAGGGGGCAGCCAGGCAGGGGACGGTGAGCATGTCATTAAATGAGGTGAGGTTTGTGGAGACTCTGACCACTGTGGCTTCTGTCATGTCATACTAGGTATTTTCTCTTGTGATTAAATATCTGACAAATCAGGATTAGAAAGAAAGGATTTATTTTGTTCATGTTGGAGGCTAAAGTCCACCATAGCAGGAAAGTTTCATGAACAATTGACAATCATGGATATGCAGGAGCTAAAGGATCAGGCTGAAAGCAGTCAGGAGGAGTCAGTGTTCACAGGGGCCGAAGACAGTCCTACAATTGCCAACCTCACTCCGTGAGGAGTTTGACTGACTTGCACAATTGCTATGCTTTGTCATTGATGGATACCATTTTAAGGGAAAGAAAATATTATCAAAATAAATCATCACAGGAATGTTTGAGTAGATGAATTCATTTTATTAAGGGAGCAATGTGAACTTCATTCCGTACTCATGAGAAGCACTTTCTTTGTTTCCCATCTGTCGTTTCCTCTTAACCGTGATAAACACCAGTCACCCCTGGGGCCTCATCTGGAGCAGCCTCTGGAGCCACAGGTGTCAGCGGCCCTGAACCTGCCAGCAGCGGAGCCCCAGGTACTGACAAGTTCCAGGAGGCAGGTGATGCCCCGGCAGCAGGCCCGAGTCCCTACTGCAACTGCCAACGACCCACAAACCAGCCTCTAAGTAGGAGTAGAATAGGGATTCAAGAAGGGTTCCGAGAAATGTCTTTACATTTTCTTTTTAAAGATTCATGTACTTGTGCATTTTAATTTAAGTGCATGCGTGTTTGGCCTGCATGCCTGTTAAGTGCACCTATGTGGTGCAATTCCTGTTGAGGCCAGCAGAGGGTAAAAGATCCCCTGGAAGAAGAATGACAGCCCGTTCTGAGCTGCCTCGTGGCTGCTGGGAACCAAATCCGGGTCCTGTCCTAGAGCTGACGGTGTTCCTTACCACGGAGCCTTCTCTGCAACCTCTCTTTCAGTCTTCTTGTTCTGAAAATCGGTTAATACACCTAAGATGGCTGAGAATAACTAGAGCCTCCGCATGTGTCTTTCCTTGTCCTAGGGAGCAAAATGATATCAGGATTTCATTAGTGATAAGATTTCCTGGAGAATTGTTACACTGTTTTTGTTTGATGCCTGATGCCTGAAAGATTCAGACCAAAGTCAATGGTCATATTGTTAATACTGTGAATGATGCTTTGTTGAAAATAGGTAAAAATCCGTAGAGTATTTCCGCACTCTCCGTTGGTTGGGATGGGTCAGAAATTGAATTACCATAGGACATGAAGAAAAAATAACCAGCAAATAGGAGGATTTGGGGTAACTTTGTGAGTTGTTAAGGGCCTTCTAGTCTAGGAAGAGACTTGATCTTTCAGTGTTGAATGTTATATACTTTATTGAATTGCCATTTTATAAAAGGGGCTATCATATAATTAGTCTTCTACGACTTTCTGAGATCCAGAGTAATTCCTGGTGATGTTTGTGGGTGATGTATCCATTTTTAATGAAAAAGTAAGCATATTTAGCACCCCGTTCAAAAAACTGCTTACGTCACATTCCCTTACGCTGACATATGTCTCTTGGTCTGTGTCAGGCTCACCTGGGACATCTTCTGGAGCAACCTCTGGGGTGGCAGGCACAGCAGCGACAGGTCGTGGTAAGATCCAGGGGCTGGGTGATGCCACAGCAGCTCCCCTCCATGCCCTGCTGTTCACTGTGTTCCTGGGTACAGCCAGCATCTGACTGGATTGGATGTAGGCTGAGGAGAGTTGGAGGGAGAGGGGCTTACACTCTCCTTTCCTGAATTTCCAAGGTATTCACAGTCAAGGCAGAAAGAATATGCAGATCCCCAACTCATAACCTCTTCTGATTCTAGGAAACATTAGAGTGTCTGTGGGGTCGACCACTGCCAACCCAGGAGCCTCAGCCAGGCCAGCCACAGCCACTGCTAGTGGCAGACCAGGTAAGTTAAATAGAAGAGTCCAACGGGAGTCTCTGCTTGTGCCCTGTGTCTGTATCCAGACATTCTTTGGAATGCACAGCCATCGTAAACGATCGGCCCTGTGAAGGCCCTTGCACTGACAGGCAGTGATGAAGGTCTCCCTAGGGCGTTTGTGTGATCGTGTCCTAAGTGAACTTGGGACTGAAGTAGTTGGAGGAATCAGTGACATGTTCACTGTGGATGTCGGGAAGAAAAGGAAGCTTGCCATCTTCCTAGGTAGTAGAGATATAGCTGCAATATGACGGGGGTGCCATTTACAGAGTCATTGAACTTGTACCTCAGTCAGAATTTTTTTAAGGGGTCCGTTGATTCCAGTGTGCAGCCTTGTTGCGAACTAAGCTCAAATTTTGGAATATTAAAAAACAAAACAAAACATGCCAGGCAGCTAGTTTGCATTCAGTATGTAAACGAGCACACAGGTGCTTTCTAAGACGTGGCTCACCGTTTACGATCAGTGTTTGGAAAGTCAGATTTGGAAACGCAGACGTGTCTATGACTAGATGAAAGGTTTGAGCCGAGAGCAGCTGACCGGACGCCCTGTCAGAGTCCCCACGTTCCCCTGCTGTTCTCCCCAACAGGCAGCACTGCCCCGAGCCTTGGCCAAACAACGGGAGCCTCAAGCAGCGACCTGACCCCGGCCGAAGACAAGTCGGGTGAGCAGCTGATGCGCAGAGTCGGGAATCATTTACCCCTGTCTCTTATTTCACCCAGGGTAGCTCGTCCAATGCATGACCATCTAGCTGACATACATCCAGCGTCTATCTACGTGTATGTCAAAGCAGTGCCTGATAGTAGAAAGAAAATATTTGAGAATATCAAATCAAGCCAAAGTTTAGGGAAGTTTACGCAGAACTTCCTGCTTTCGTTTGTTCTTTTTTCCCTAGCAGAACAGTTTAAGAAGTTGTACCTCTCAGTGGTAACAAAAATCATGCAAACTTTGAGCGTCCCTTTGATGTTTTCTCAGGCTCTGCAGAAACATCAGCTCCTGTCACCTCTGTCTCTGGAAGTGCGGGGACCACAGGAATCTTGAGCTCCACCACTCCTGGGCTCACAGAAGGTAAACTCAGCTCAGAAGAAACTGTCTGTTGTCTGCTTGTTTTAGGGACTGCTGAACAGACTTTTCACCCTGATATAATGTGAAACTTAGATGATTATTCTTTTCATATAATTTCAATATAGTATCTTTAATCTATTCACAAATTGCTTCAAAGTATGCCACATTGCATTCATTCGCTCCTACTTTTCTGAGATTTGCAAGTGCTTATCCAGGTATCGGCAATGGTGCAGCATTTTTTTTCTGTCCCTTGTTAGAAAAAACCCTAGAGTCCATAGTCATAACAACAGTAGCAATGACAGGAAACAAAAACATAAATGACACAGAATTCATAGAAGGTAAGAGGAAGATATAGGTCAGTCCAAAATTAAATGCTGTGTTAATAAATGATATCGTTATTGAACACCTGCACATTCTCCTACAACCTCCCTGTGCGTTCATTAAGTTAGTGGACATGAATCTGTGGCAGTGAACTCCCTCTGAGTTGAGACTGTGGTGAGTTGTCCAAGTTGCAGTGTCATCGTAGGAAATCACATTCTTAAATTTCATGGACAACCGCTGGCCACCCTTTGGGTTCTATGATGTGTGGGAATGGGTCATATTGCACAAACGTCAAAAGCTGTGCTTGTCCCTTCTGTCCTCCACCGTTGGCAGGCATCAGTGTCAAACACCCAACCAACCTCCGTTTCTGTGACACTTAATATTCTGATGACCACCAAATAAAACCGCACTTTGCATACCGGCAAGACCATTTCTTCAATGTTTATGTGGGACTTCAACTACTTTAAGAAAATATTTTATTTATGATTTCTATTGTTTGTATCGAGTGTATTGCCTGCATGTGTATAAGTGCACCCCTGCATTGCAATGCCAGTGGAGGCCAGAAGAGGGTGTTGGAGTCCCCTGAAATGGACATACGGATGTTTGCCAGCCATCACGTGTGTGCTGGAATCAAACGCAGGTCCTTGCAAGAGCAGTCAGTGCTCTTAACCAGTGAGCCTTCCCTCCAGCACCCTCAGATATCTTGCTTTGAGCTATTCTCAGGCCTGATACTATGCTAAACCTTTCTCAGCAATTTGTTTGACTTAAATATATGATTGAAGTCAGGATCTACGGTGCGATGTTATCCTAAACATCTCCCATCAATTCAATTCACTTTAAATATAGGACTTAGGTGTGTTTCAGGATAATATACACTGACAAAATAGTTGTTGAAAAAAGAATCTAGACACAAGACATACAATAAGTAATTGTAATCATCTTAAACATATTGTACCTTTACCGTGATGTCCATTCAACCCAGAATTTCAAACTTCTGAAGCAGGGTGCCTGTGGTAGCGGTAAGCTCTCTGTGAATTATGCCCTTTGTTATCGGGCCCTTCGAGCGCCCGTGAGAGGGGCCTCTTGAAGTTGGTTCCCCAGGTGAGGAGCGTCCACCAGTGTCTGTTGAGGCTCTCGATGTATTAACTTGAAACAGGGATCCTGCCCTTAGAAAGAAAGAAACTTGACACAATGGGGTCGTTTTTCTATCTAGAGGACAAAAGCTTGTGCTTCATAGCATTTTAATAAAAATTTTCATTTCTCTATCTACGTCTATGGCGTGTTCAAACCATAAAGCACAACACTTTGGGAATTAATCTTTGACAAGTGTTGGAGGAGCCCGAATGGCGCTAGATGCTTATGTCTGAGTGGTGGATGTGCTGTTTGCTTCTGAAATGAGGGGGCGGGGGTCACTTAATCACATTGAATCAATGAGGCATGTTACCCGATACAGAGACTTTTCACAACATGAATTAGTTTTCTGTCTTGGACATGTTTTGATTGATATTTTCATCCGCAGCACTAGGCGGCTCCACTGCACCAATACGCGCTGGTGGGGAGCATAGCACGGCCAGAGAAAACAGTCCTGGAAGTCCACGTCAAGGA